CTGAACCCAGAACTTGGACTGTGCATGTAAAGTTCCACTGTACAGCATGAGGACCTGATTGTGTAATCCCCAGCACCCATGTAAAAGCTGGGCATGGTAGAGCATCTCTAACTCCAGTGCTGGGTAGGGGTAGAGTCAGGTAGAACCCAAGGCTCCCTAGTCAGCCAATCTCCACAAAACAGTGAGTTCTAGGTTCAGCGAGAGATTCTGTCTCAAAAAATATGGTGGCCTTCACACAGTGGTGATTACACCCTCCTCACAGGTGTGCAAGCACACAGACACACAGATATACACAAATAAAAAGTAAAAAAAAAAAAAAATCCCAAAACACTTCATTTCTGTCTCTACCATAGGTAGCCCCTTTCACGTCATGGCTAGCCTCCTGAAGATGGTTGCTCTGCTCCTGAGGATCTCTTCCATGTGGAGTTGGGCTTTTCGGGGCCCAGCCTTTCTCAGCAGCTAGGGAAGCGCTCAGTAAAAGCTTGGTCTGCTGAAGTAAAATGATCTGATTTGTACATTTAATCTTTTCTACTCTTTTTTATTTTTTGGTCTTTTTGAAACAGGGTTTCCCTTAGCCCCAGCTGGCCTGGAACTCACTATGTAGACTAGGCTGGCCTAGAACTCACAGAGATCTACCTGTCTCTGCCTCTGCCTTTGCCTCCCAAGTGCTAGGACTATAGGCCTGCGCCACCACGCCCAGCTTCTACTCCTCCTCTTAATGTCTTCCTGGAATCCTTTCTAGATCAGTATATCAGTACCAAGGAATCGTGGATGGCAGATTACTGCCAAGAAGACGAGAAAGCAGAGTCAGTCAAGTCAGAAGACTGGATGGGCTCCTCTGTGGATCCACCGTGCTTCGGACAAAGTAAGATTGTTATATGCAAATGTCTGTATCTGTCCAGAGCAGTGCCTAGCTGAGGTTCAGCTAGAACCGTACTTTGTGGAGAAATCTGTAGGAAGTTCTGACTCTGCTGTGCTCTGTTTTAAATTTTTCTAAGAGACAGTTTTCTGGCAACAACTACTGAACTTTTAATGTGGGCTATAATTTCTGCTATGTGTAGGGGAGAGGATCTACAAAACGTCATTCCCAATTTCGGTGACGTTGCAAATCAGCTGGCGCACCTGAGAACGCATCAGGGCCAGCTGTTGGTTGGTTTGTGTTTTACTTGGCAACAACAATTGGTTTTTCAATCAATAGGATTTTTTTTCGGACTGGATCTTTTTTTAAGCATCTTTTTTTAAACATCTAAAGCTAGAGGGTTTGTATGTATTCTTGGAAAGAGGGAGGACGGGATTCCATGTGAAAAAACGTTTCTTAAAAGGGGGCCTATATTGTTCATAGAGTATAAAAGAATTGAATAGCCAGCCTCTTGAGGAAGGAGTCAGTTTGTTCTCTGTTGATAGTGTCTTCTTTCATGAGTTAGTGCCTCAGTATGGAGCTCTCTCTGAACTGTGGAGATGGTGGTGGACAAGCACAAGTTCTTGGTTGGCCCACAAGCCATTTTCATCCAGATTCGGCTCAGCCCCAGCTCTTTCAGAGTGGTTTCTTTGGGGAGTCTTGGCGGAACTTCACATAGCTCATGAATACTTAAATATTCCATCTGGCCTGCAAACACGTCACAGAAAGATGGGCTTTCTTAGTGTATGAAGTATTTGTACTGGTTCACCTCTCCAGGGTGTGTGAGAAAACTATCTGCCTTGTGTTTCTAGGAGGACAGACAAAGACACGTCAGCTGTGGTTGTTCTGTGTTCCTAGGTGTTGCTTCTGAGTCCAAGCTTGTTGAATAGCCAGTGCTTTTCACGTCCAGGTCCCCCTTAACCTTCCCAATGTGTGTCAAGAACATAACATTTTACCTAGAAGACTCCGAATACACTTTTTAATATGTAATGTGTCCCAGCATTTCTGAAGACATTTTTTGTCCTGACATTAGGAAGGCCTAATATTCAGAAGCACAAAGGGCTTTCTTGCTCCACTCTTTTTAAACTTTTTTCGTCATGCTGGGTGTGGTGCATGTTAGCCCTGGAGGCAGAGGCAGGTAGATCTCTGTGAGATTGATGTCACCCTGGTCTATATAGTACGTTCCAGGCCAGATGGGGCTACAGGGAGACACTGTCTCAAAAAGCAAACAACCCGCCCCCAAAGAAAAACTAAGCTTTCTCCTCTCTCTATAGTTAATAAGCTGCCTTATTTCTGTTAATGCTGTTAATGAATTAAGCTAGATTTTTATTTATGTAGATTTTTTTGTGGTCAGTTAGGCTGATATAGGTGTGCTATACCTTTTTAGCTATCTAAAATGGAATATACCTAAGTTTCCAAAGTCTTGTGGAACTTGCCAGGTGGTATTCTGTCAGCAGGTCTCCCGAAGTGCTTGTTGAACATTGATTTTAAAGTTAGTGGGTTTCAGCCTCGTTGAACTGATTATACATTTCCAGGTCTTATGTGGGAATTAAGTCATATTCACCTCAAAAGTTGTACTCAAGTTGCCAGCCTTAGAACAAGCCCTGTGAGTAGCCCTTAATGTGGAATTCAGTCTAAGGAGCTGCTGATACATCAGTCTTTTACTATAGGGAAGAGAATGTATTAGCTCCATTTTGACACAATTTTGGGCCTTGTTTGGTAAGGGCTGGTTCTACAGGTAAACCTGGATGGTGTGACATTTCCTTAGATGCGTTAGTTTTGTATTCTAAGGTTATTTTATGAAAATATCAAATATAAGCATGATGTATATGTTCAATTTGGAATTAGTACTGTGAGATAAATTCTTCAGAAAGATTGTTTAAACTTGGAGGCCAGGCTGACTCTTGCCCTGAGTATTTGAGGCACCCAACGACCAATATGCTGTTGCTGCTATGTTTTTCCAACGGGAATGGAGTTTCCTCCCCTAAAATCCATACTGATTGGTTTCTGTGACTTTTCTGGGCCAGTTAAGATTATAACATGCTTTAAATTAAAAATCCTCAAAAGGCTTGTCATTCTGTTCAAGAGCATGCTCAACACATTCATCTTTCCCTAATTAGAAAAAGAGGCATGTGCTACTTTGACATGCAACACCGTCAAAGCGCGTAGGAAACTGTGCTCCTTTGCCAAGCACATTCTTGGGTCTTAGTAATCAGGAAGGATGATCCTGTAACTGCATGATGCATGCTGTTTTCCTAACATTCTCTATTTGTGCTTGTTACTTGGAAGTGCGTCTTATTTACTATGTTTATTCTTATTCTCTAACCTTGTCTCTCCTGTCTACCAGGCCTCCCCCTTGTCTACCTTAGAACTAGGAGCACAGCCAGTCTGACTAACCTAGAGCACCAGATCTATGCTAGAGGTACAGTATAGTCAAGCGAGGGCTTGCTTCATTTTCCTCTTTCAAGAACTGCCTTGTGCATTGATTTGGACATTAAATTTTGTGTTTCTTGTTGATTGGAGCTGAACAGTTTTCAGTTGTGAGTGTTTTGCTTCGGTGACCTGAAAGAACGTCTCCAACTAAGGAGTCTCAGGGGTGGTGCCTCAAGGCAGCAGGACTGATGTGCTGGCTTCTCACTGCCTCTCTTCCATTTCCTGTAACCTCAGGGAAAGTGGAATCCACTCCATGCTGCAAAAGCAGTCAAAGGCAGTGGAGGGGCCCAGTACAGTAAGGGGGAGGAAACAGAGGCACTCCATCCTCTATCAAGCAGTGTCACATGACTCGAGTAACCGCCTCAGAGCATTGGTCCTCATGAGAATACGAGGGACCCATGAAATAGAAGCTCTTAGTTGTAGAGCTAAGAAAACATTTCCCAATTACATGTGAATTTATGAGCTTAGGAGATAGAAAACGTTGTTTATATTTCTCACTGATCCTCTGAAGGTTTCTTGAGAATTTGATGGTAAGTGAAGACACAAGGAAATACCACACGCTTTGAGGAATTGAAGCACCAAACTCAGTTTCCTCTGTTCTAAGACCACAGTTTAATCTGACTGATTTTTGCATGTGACTAGTTCTACATCATGGGTCATGGTATATATTATTTAAAAAGGATATGAGTTGGGCTTGATGTTGCACATCTGAATCTCAGCACTTGGGAGGCCAAGGCAGGAGGATCAAAAGTTCAAGGCCGGCTACATAGGAAGACTCTGTCTGAGAGAGAGAGAGAGAGGGAGAGGGAGAGGGAGAGG